AAAACAATTTGCACTCGTAAGTGAGTAATTGTGTTACGGCCTTAAATGGCAATTTATATGCATATACGTATCTTAACATAGGTATTGTAGTTTGATAGGAAATAAATTATTGCTCACTTCCTTTGAACGGCTTTTAGGAAACTTGCTTCAAGCTTACAATTAAAAATTAATGTCTTAATTAAAGGAATCTATACTTATATAGAAATTATAAGAAAGTAATAGAATTATGTCAAATGTAAAATGTAGCGACTTTAATGACGTTTTCAATTGGTAAATCTGGATATAATTTAGATTGACTTTCGATCTATCTATTTTTAGAATAATCTTACATTTTTATAGTAGTGTTAGTAGACATTTATATTTCACATAAACATATATGTCGAATCTAATCGCACTTTATTTGCCGTGCCACATAAAATAGGGAAATCTTGCTACTCTGGCAAAATATCTAGAGTGTTAAAAATTAGTCTCAAGTGTTTTACATTTTCCTCGAGATTTACAAACCGAAAAGAAAATTTGCACTAAAAATGGATATCGATTGAAAAAGTTGCCCCAGATCTACCAATCGAAAACGGCAAAAGTATTTATATATTTATATTAAAACCTATAACTCCTAGGAGGAACATAGGGCCCCAGCATAACATAAGTATTTATTTCCATTTTATTTATATGGATCATCTTTTGGATCCTACTGCATTCATTTATTTTAAATTTTACAGTTGACCAAACAAATGTCTCAAATATAATTAAATATTCATTATTAGCAATATTAAAAAATCAATTTTAAAATTGTTATCCATATGACTATATTTGAGTAAGCTTACAAGTCCGACACACAATACCACAGCACCGGTTCTAAAAGGTACAGCTTGTGGATCGCAATTATTTCTGACCTTTTTTTAATGAGGTATAAAACAGCCTAAGTTAATTTGAGATTTTAACCCACTAAAATCATAACAACGTCCGATGGCTAGCTTTCTCGGGATTATCGATTTTGTATTTTGTCAAGAGGCTGTTCAGAGCACGAACCTCAAACGTTTGTCTAACGTCTATCGTTTCAGCTATAATACTGCAGCTATACTTCTTGAAAAATAACCCCCCTCTTGTCATTTATTCAGAATGATCATCATTTTAATCATTTTGTTAGAGAAATTTTTGCTGATATGGTAAAGAAGTCATGAAAACCAAGATATGGTATTGTTGAACCAACATGATACATCGAGTTAGAATATTTTAACCTCAAAATTTTGTTAAAATCAGGTTAAATCAACTAAATTATTTTTCTGAGTGGGAAAACTGTGTTAGTAACATGATTTGAGTTGCGAATGTCACATTGCTACTTGGGATAGTAGATATTTTAAAACCTCCACGAGTAGTCCCCATTTTTCTTTAAAGCAAACGTCAAAACGAAATCTCCCATGTTCCATGTTCCCATGTCCCATGTTCAATATTGCTTTGACAGTTAGGGCAGTAGGGTCTATCTGCCGCCAGAAATCAGTGAAGATATTCTAAGACACAACTGTGACCGCTCAATATCTGAATCAAATAGAAATCCACTTCACTATGAGTTCTTATCACCCATTCTTTGATGTTGGGCATAAGTGCATAAGTCCAGTTCTTTAAAAGATTGCTTTCAATTCTGCTGCCATTCTTTAAGTGTATACGAGCGTTCAATAAATTTTTGACATCTTGTCGGTGTCATGTCTTGACTGTAATAAAAGCGGCTAAGTTTTTTATATGCATGTCCACATGGTAGCTTTCTAGTAATGATACAGATTGCTGAATAGATCTGAAAAGAACAAATTGGGTACTGTTCTATAAGCGCAGGTAACACGTAACGCACTGTATCTGTGAATTTGTGTCTGTGTCCCATTCCATCTGTGTGGTATCATGCCTGAACTTGACTAAATTTATTGTAAGACTAGATATTGATGATTGAATCCAATTTGAATCAAACAATAATTGGGGATAATATGATAATTGATAATAATATGATACTACATGTGCGACTAATTGCTACTACCTGAACTTAGTAGACAACCTACTGGAAAGATTCTCTTGTGGTTTTTTGTGTAAGGACTGAAAGCAACTAATTGGTCCGATCACTCGTCACACCACTTGCGCCAAATATCTCTTTTTATTAGCTTTGTGAATAATAGTTTGCATTCACTTTGTTTGAAGGATGAAAGATTATCACCACGGTACATTTTCTTTAATATTCTCCCATTTTTTAAGACTCAGACTTAAGTTTTTGAAATCAGATAATGTATGTAACTTCAATATCAGTATTTTGTTTCTTTCAAGCATTATCCGCTTCCTCAAAAGGAGCCGAACAGTTTTATAAAATATCGAAATGAGTTTCATAGTACAATGGATCTTTACGGTCTAATTTAGAAATCCTTCTCAAGAGTAAGTTTTAGTAGGTTATAGTCGCACGTGGTGACCTTCGATATGTTCCAGTGACATTAGTAAATATTAGACCGTAAATGCAAGGATTGTTTGTTGGTCAGTTTGCATTCAATAATCGTTGAGATACTATATAATTTTGATAAAGTTTTTCTCAGTGCTATCGTTATATGGTCAAAAAAGAATGTAATGAATTGAAAAGTTTATTGTGGTTACTTATGTACTTGAATTATTTTTCGAAGCAATCTTTAAGTTATACTCATATTAAGTGGATTTAATTGCTTTAATGTTTTCGATAAGAAAGAGGAAGTTCTTCATGAAACTGATTCATTTAAGTTTAATTAATCCGTATATATTTTGTTATTTATTGGAAGGTGATTTTAGCACCTTTAAAATATGTTTTTAAATTATTTAAATATTAATTCTTTTAATAGTTTTTTTTTTAATTTCAATTGAGTTAAACAAAATTGAAATTCAAATCAGCTAAACTCATACATATTAAAGGGATTTAAGTATAAGGAATAAATCTACCTAAAACATTGTAAACGTAATCCTAAGTACTTTTCAAATCACATATTTAGCTCTCAGTCCTTTTAGTGTATACATCGTGTTGTTTTTTATCTATTTAATGTCTTAAATTACACAATGTAATATCCGCCGGAAGTCATAAACGACTTACATGAGCCACTTTCCAAATCTTTACAAGTCTTTTGCGATTGTTATAACTTTTTTTCTCTTCTAAGAAAAATTTTTTTTATTAATTTCAGTTGCGGTTGTTGCTGTCTTTGTATTTATTATGTTGCGGGATGTGTTGTATCACTTGTAATGTTGCCACATGTTTCATTTATCTGCTGTTCTTTTGTATGCAAAAGAATGAAATTCCTTTCAGCAAATGTGTTGTTATGTCATTTCTTGGCACCACACATGCCACTTTATTCTTCAGCTGTTAAAATATTTGAAAAATGCTTTTATTTTAAATAAAAAAAATTAAAATATTTAAAATTTTTTCAAGCTTTGCTCAGAAAATGTGTGAAAATTTAAATCTCAATAAGATAACTATGAAGATTTAATTGATCAAAGTATTTAATTAAATGAATATTGCCTTTTCTTTTGAAATTTTAAAATCTTTTATATACTGAGAGAAA